CTAATGTTGCTTTCTTTAGCACAATAGTGTTACATGGCCTTGGGATAGCAGCAAGGATCTCTCTCCTCATTCCTATCCCAGGCAGGAAGTATGAGGTGATTAACAGCTGACTGTAATCATACTGCTAAAAGTAGGAATCGGCCAAAAAAAACATTTGATGACAATTTGTGGACCACAGACTTGAGATAACCAGCAGCAGCCAAAGCTGTCGAGGGTATGATGTAGGAGGTGATTTTGGGTGAATGTTAATATGAAAACATAATGCACAAAAAATGACAACAGACAGAAAAGCTTACCTGCCTTCCCCGAAATTGCATCATCTAAATTTAACTTTTTCCTTTTTGCAGATGTGAAATCTATCATTGCCACCGGTGCAGCTGGTATCTGCACACAAAAGATCTGTTTTATATATACACAAAACTAAAGATGGCAAATATATAATATATCAAACTATAATATTACCTTTTTTATGTTTGATGGCATTAGCCACTGACATTTCTCTGTCGTGCATGAGGAATTTCTCATTTTTACCCCAGCCTCGGTAGCAAAAAGTATGGCCCCCACATGAGAACATGATTCTGATAAACTGCAAGTAATAGCAAAAAAACATATTGCAGTAATCATTATTTCTTACTTTTTAATGAACTTGAGTTATTATATATCTCATAAGACAAAGAGAAGAAGAGGGTGTAACTTCTACATTAAGTTGATGAAGCACCATTTAGCTTTGCTACACACCTCAGTAGAAGAATATTTGACTTTCTCTAATCAAGTCTTAATCATATCGTTGCTGTCTAAATAGTAACTACATAATGTTCTACTTAAAATGGCTGTATACAACATATACATCATATTTACTAGTAGTACTTACCCAGCCATACAGTCGCAATGGGCTGTGACAACCTCTCCGCTGTCTCTAGCCACAAACCATGTTTTTAAAGGTTTTTCACTGCTTCTTTGTGAATGGTTGACCTATAGAAGTGGAATAAAATATAATTACTTTATTAATCCCAAGAGAAATGTATTTGTTTTCATCTGTTCAAAAACAATCAATCATCCAAGCAGATGTTAATAGATTAGCATTTAAAAAGCGTCATTTGGTGCCACTAGTCAGTGGAGCAGGTGAGTGAGCCTTTTATTGAAGGCGCTCCTCTGGCTCATCACCTCGTACAGAGGAAGGCTGCTGTTTTCTGATGAAGATATATTTTTTAGCTTCTCGTCTCTATCATAAACACCAGAGTCTGCTCAGCACCAACCACAGATGACACCACCTTTTAAATCGCTAATTGTTCGAAAACACTGATGTCACTGATGCCTTGTATGTAAATGTATTTTTTGATATTATTCACACTTTTTGACCCCTTCCCATTGGGACAACAGATGTGTTGTAACTTGCAACACATAAATAACACAATTTCGAATTGGACTTGAACAAAGCGTTTAAATCAATTTTGACGAATAAAAATATCTTCTATGTTTGATATCATGATTGCTCATATTATGCATGTTACTTAGCATGTACAGTCCCAATCAAATAAACCAATACATAAAGATGCAAATACAACATCAAAATATGACAATCATATGAGGTTTTACATTGGAAATATTACATTATGTGTGTTTCAGTAATTAGCATTAGCATAAACATGATAATATGCATGCCAAAAATAGCTATATTAACGCCGAAACTCATAAAAGTTACTCACCCGAGCAAAAACAAGGCGACAATCATTCAAAGCTTCTTTCGTCCCTAGATTGCTGACCCAACCCGAGACAAAATAGTTATATGCCTCCAGGCTTTTGAAAGCCTTCATTTGTTCCGCAGTGTAGTATGACGTCTGAAGCACCAGGTAGTTTATGATGTCCATCGCCTCCACCGCAGGTAAATCCTCCATTCTGTGCTGAAACTCCGACTTTGACAAACTATACGGGTCATATCCAGTATGCGAGTTAATCTTTTCGCGATAACGGCTCTGTGCGATCCCGTTCAGCCCTTTACAATAGTCACTTTCCTCCATTGCGCTACTCTTTACTGTATGTTGTGACAGGTGATGAGCAAAGGCTTTCCCAGACAACCGCCCCCTGCAGGCCACCCGATAAAACGCAGCAATTTCTTCCGTTTTTTTATCCAAAAATAACCGGAATCAAGACTCTTTTGAGAAATATTTTTGTATAGTCCCTCAGAATTGAGTGTCCCCCTCCCGATTAAGAATGTTACAACAACCGTACACCGCACAGGGTGAGAGCCTTTTGACTCCAAAACAGACACGATTTACATGGTTTTCAATGGGAGCAAAACGGGGTTGTCCCACGTCTGCTCACTCGCCCCCTAGCGGCCAGTTTAATGAAACCCAAGAATTGTTTACTCTGTCTGAAGACTTCTGCAAGAACTATTTTCAGTGGCACATGTGGCAAATTATAGACCACACAACTGTCAGATAGTACACTAAACTGATATATGCTAAAGTAGGCTGAGGGGTATGGCCAATAGCGCACCTGTATATACGCTGCACCAGCAACATTTTAAAAGAAAGTAAATAGTTTCTAGATGCATTAGGGCTGGGCGATATGGCAAAAAAAAAAAATCTCCAATTTTTTCACACCAAATCCGATTTTCGATTTTAATCGATTTATTTTTTTCTATTTAAAAACAAACTACAACTGACAAAGAAATAGATTTTCCTTTATGCAGTTTAATCTAAATCCCCATGGAGCATAAGTGTAACAGGAATTAAGCCTTAAAACATGCTTGTAAACGAGATGGCTCTGCCATTGTAAACAGTGAAAATGTAGCTTAACAGTTTTATAATAACTTCACTTACAATGACACTATGCACCTTCAAAATAACTTAAATCACACAAACAAGGCCCATCGCAAATATATCAATCCTATTAAACACATGCATTATTTACATGAAATATCACATTTTTAAAACTGATTACTCAAAATAGAAATGTTGTAACAGTCTTTTCCAAAAGCCTCCTCGGGTTTTCATGCTTGTTCTTTCAACTGTGCCTGAGTAACTGTGCTGTAGTACAACGCTCGGTCCAGCTGGTGGCGCTAATACTAACTTCAGTGACTCCCACATTGTCCGAGCTTCCTGTTTACATTCTGATGCTGTAGCTAACAGCTACTGTAGCAGCTACTGTAGCTAACAGCTACTGTAGCAGCTACTGTAGCTAACAGCTACTGTAGCAGCTACTGTAGCTAACAGCTACTGTAGCTAACAGCTACTGTAGCAGCTACTGTAGCTAACAGCTACTGTAGCAGCTACTGTAGCTAACAGCTACTGTAGCTAACAGCTACTGTAGCAGCTACTGTAGCTAACAGCTACTGTAGCAGCTGCAGCTACTGTAGCTAACAGCTACTGTAGCTAACAGCTACTGTAGCAGCTACTGTAGCTAACAGCTACTGTAGCAGCTACTGTAGCTAACAGCTACTGTAGCAGCTACTGTAGCTAACAGCTACTGTAGCAGCTACTGTAGCTAACAGCTACTGTAGCAGCTACTGTAGCTAACAGCTACTGTAGCAGCTACTGTAGCTAACAGCTACTGTAGCAGCTACTGTAGCTAACAGACAGCGGGGAACACGTTGTTTGTATCAGAGCAATGAGAGCAATGTGTGAGACGTGTCTTTCCCCAAAGTGCAGCGGCTCAGTGGGACACGAGTGTGTGCGCGCCACGGACACGGGAGTGCGCTTTGGAATAACGAGCGTGAGAGAGCGTGAAAGATGTGGCGTACGAACATGGCGTACGAACATAACGACCGGAGCCTGCGTGCGTGTGTGTGTGTGTTCTGGCGATTAAATAAAGTCTGATTCTTGAACGTTTGAAGTGTTATTGCAACAGCACCAACTGTGAGAGCGAGCCTCAGGCCAGAGGGAGACTGTTAGCATTAGGTTAGCTTCAAAATGACTGCTCAACACCAAAGACCCGCGGTTAGCGCGTTAGCGCTGTCGTTCTGCGCTGGAGAAAATAAAAATCGAATTTTTAAAAAAAGAAATCGCCCTAAACGTAAAACTCGAATTAATGATTAAAATCGATTAATCGCCCAGCCCTAAGATGCATACAGAAACAACAGAAACTGTGCATACACACTAGGACACATGGTGGAGAGAGAGAGGCTCTGGCCGTCCGCAGCAGCAGCGCTTCTACTACATGTTGTTAGAGAGAGGGTACATAGACTGGCACCCCACAATGACCCCCACAAATACATCAGCTGTGATGTCACCCACATATCACACTGGATTGGTCAGCCAGAACACAATGGCAGCCCTCCCAGAGAGAGCAACCACTGATGGCAGGACATCAAGAAAATTCATCCCAACACGACCATTCCACCACTTCAAGTTCAAAGTTAAAATGATGTATCCAAGGCACCCTCTCCCCACCGCCCAAAGTGCAAAATTTGTCTATTTTACTAAAGACAATGAATGGGAAACCATGCTCATATCCCTTGTAGAGCACTATGGACAAAAACTTTGATTGATTTGACAATTGATTTAAGGCAATGCATTATTATTTGGACAAACTCACTTTGGCCGGTTTTGACCCTGTGTCTGCTTTGTGGGTTTGGGCCCCTCTGCTCCAAAATAATCCTAAATAAAGAAGTTATGATATAGTATGTATAATTTCCATTATTATTCATGACTTACATAGACTTAAACATGCTGAGAAGAGATATTATGACTCTGGTAATTTTATAGTGACTGCAGAAATACTGTAAATTTTAATCTGTTTACAAAGTATTTTTAAAGTAATCTCTATGTAGATATTTTCCAGGGGCATCACTTGGGCTGTGTTTTGGTGAACACTACAATAACTGCCCATTTTTCTTGCTCTAAAAAATAAACTAGAAAATAAATATTGGCCAACTAATTTATTGTCAAAATGATCGTAAATTATAGCCCTAGCGTTCACATGGATGTTTAGCTGTTCTATTATATTGCTTGTGTTATCGTTGCCATCCAAACTCAACATAATGCATGTTCCCTCCTCAGACCTCTCAGGGTGTGCAGCCCAAACGGTTCAAGACGTTGCCAGATTTGGTGGCCCTTTACCTCCAGCCGAGTCAGGGTCTGGTGACCACACTTCTGTACGCAGTGGACAGAGAGGAAACGGCAGCGAGTGACGACAGGGATTATTCTGGTACATCACCTTACACCACTCACCATGTTATTGATGCCCATTTATCAAACCATGTATTTCTTTTATTAGATGGTGAAGATGAAAAACCACCACTCCCACCCAGATCAGCCTCCACCTCCACCCCACCTGGAACAGATTCACCCACTGAGAGGTACAGACAAGTTTCTCATAATGACTTTGGCCTTTGCAATAGTTGTATACTTTTAGCTTTCCTGTTTCCCTTTGACCAAGTCATGGCTGAATCGAAAATCAGTAGGTGCAGGTGCAATAGACCGAAATGGTTCTTTATACCAGCCGCTATAAGATATATCCCTCACATAGATTCAGGTGGCATGTGCTTTGTGATCTCTCTAGTGTCTGCCATTTTTTATTTCACGTATGAATGTGTTTGAAGCAGCACGACCACGTACTCAAGACAAATGTTCACTCCGGGGAACAATAAAATAAACCTTATTTAAATTTACCATATAAGTATTTGTGTTCATTAGCGCTATTGTTCAGAGGCTACGCACAGGCTATTTTTTAGTTTTCTTTTCAAAGCTTGTTGTTTTGTGAGAATAAAAAGCCTGATAATTGTTTCACCCATTTTGCCCCCAACCAAGTTTTGCAATCAGCAGTCTATTTACATGCTGTACTTATTGCTATACTCTATCAAGTTAAGGTTAGGGATAATTCGAGCTAATTAGGTTAAAGCTAATTTGCTTTTGGTATATAACTACAGTGTGAATATTGTGGCTTTAACTTCTGCAAGGGGTACAAGTTTGTAATTATTTGATATTTTGAAACTGCCAAGCCTATTTCTAGACAACTATCTTACTTACTGTTGAATATGGTAGGACATGTTACAGGCCGATTCACCTTTTGTGTAAAGGAAAACCACATCCTGTTGAAAGCCATGTTGCCATGTTACAGATGATGCTGCACGCTCAACAGAGAGTTCCCATTATCGACAATATTATATTAATTTAAAAGAGATTAATGACTAAACAAGACCGGTTGGGGTGAACGGTTTTATCTGAAAACAAATGTGTTCATTGTGGTTGTTTTTATATAATCAACGCGGTTAAATCATGTTGGTTAAGACAGACACAACCCCCATGGACGCTGACAATATTGCATGTATAATACAAGTGTTGGATTGTGTTTATGTAGCGTTGCTGTCCTATTGATGAAAGTGTGGTTGCAGCAGCAGCAGCAGCAGCAGCAGCAGCAGCAGCAGCAGCACATGGGGGATGGGGAAGTTGTGCTGGTTTAACTGTGTCTGTCTGGGCTAAGTTTGTGCCTGTGGGTGGCAACTTAAGTCCATAGACTCAAGTCAGCTCCTCGGATTAGACATTAGAGGAAGTGTGTGATTCAAAACCCCTGACTGATCTATAAAGGCATGCAAATGTTATTTTCTTCTAACATGGAGTAAATGGGTTTCGTTTGAATTTCAGTCCTCCAGCTGCAAATGGCCTGAGCACCATTTCCCACGAGTACCTGAAGGGCAGCTACGCTCTGGACCTGGAGGCAGTGAAACAAGGAGCCTGCGCCCTCCCTCACCTCAACAAGACACTCGTGGCTTCGTGTAAACGACTCAATGGGTACAAAAGACGACTGAAGTATTTGACTGAGCTAGTGCCCTGCAAGTGAACGATCGCTGTTAGGGCGAATCCCTAACAGCTTTATGTTACTTATGGCTTTACTTTGTTATCCAGGAAGAAGTTCAGGTTTTATAGCAAATCCAGGACAATTCTTTCCCTGAGAGACCACAGTGGGATATTGTGGAGAGCCGTACCCATTTTCATGTAGTTTCATTTAGGACCCCACGGTGGCCTTCTTCAGGGTTTGAATCCCAGTCAGAACAAGGCCTCTCTGAGTGGAATTTGTATTTTCTCCGCCGGGTGCTCCAGTTCCCCTACCATTAAATACATGCACAATAGGTAAATCCTCCAGCCCCGGTAGTCCTGACCAAGTCGAGCATCAATATCCTGAGATGGGTTCCCAGGCGCTGGACTACGGCGACCATTGCTCCTGACAGAGGCCCTTTTGGCATAAGGATGGGTCAAATGCAGAGGACAAAGTTCCCTACGGGAATAAATAAAGTGCAAAAAACCTTTTTTGAGTGCAACTTAAAATATAACAAATAATGATGGATTTGAAAAACTGAAAGAGAATGAGAGGGAAAGGTGAATCCAGTGTTTTGTTTGTTTGTGCAAAGAGTCTCGCTCATCTTCTTCATCTGTGGCTATATCTATGTTTTAATCTTTGGGCTGTATTTTGAGAAAATTTATTTTATTAAACATAGATATTTTTGTTTTTTGTTTAGTCTTTTGAAACAAAATGAGTTCAGTTTGGCTTGGATTGAACCCAAACTGGACTAGTATTATAGACAAATAAATGTTTTGTTACTTTTTACTGTGGGTCACGGTTCTCTTTTTTGTTTTACATGACCTTAATTTCACTAAGGAAGTCTTTTTCAGTGGAGTCGTAGCTACAGACAGGGTGGAGGGAGGGGTGGGAATTGCAAATGCTATTGAGCGTTTTTTTTTTGTAAAATGATGTGTTTTTCAATATTGTTTTTTCTTAAACAGGGAGGTGGACAAGGTGTTGTCTGGGCTGGAGATCCTCTCTAAAGTCTTTGACCAGCAAAGTGCCTTCATGGTGTCGAAGATGATTCAACAGGTAACTTCATTTATGTTATACAGGGGCACTTTTATCACAAACAAACATTTCCTAAAGTGACATAACTGGTGACATAATTATCTTAAGTAACCAGTCAGCATGTGCGTTTTATTATAATCCTCTTAAAACTCTGAAACTCTTGCGTGTTAGTTAGTTTTATGAAATAACACGGCGTGAGAAAGTAAATCTCTGCACACTCGACATGGCTCTGTTGCGCTCAACACAGAAATCCAATGTTCTTTAAAATGCTTCTAATAACCGTCCAAAACTGAAGTAAGTATATGTATTGATATCATTGAGTTACATTTACACTTGGTACAACAAAAATATGTTTTAAGCAAATCTAGTGATAGCACTGCATGTTCTCTCTCAACAGTCTGTAAATCAGGGCGGCGACCAGGAGCTGGAGAACCTTGTAACGAAACTTGCCATTCTCAAAGACCTGCTGTCCTCAATAGAGAAGAAGGTAAGAATGTTTCAACTTTAGGTCAAACAGAAATAACGGATTTGTAACCGGGAAACAATATTTGTAGCTGCTTTGTTTAATTGTGTAACACATGTTTTATAATCCAGGCCTGGCTTTCCTTTGCCTCTGTCACATTTACAGTTAGTGGAGCTGCCTAGGAAGGAAATGGCTGCAGCACAATTAACCTAGAGACAATATCTGGCCTTATGTGTTTTCTCTCTGACACAAGAAGTCTGCTGCTGGCGTAGATCCTCCAGGAAATGGGAAGCTGTTTCCTTGTTGACAACAACAATGGGAGAGAAAACAATGCATCTGTTTTTGTGTTTTTCACCATGACCTCAATTGCTTTTAAAGAATGATATTTGTTTTGTTATTTCTCTGTTAGGCGCTGAAAGCTCTTCAGGACATGAGCTTGACCTCTCCCTGCTCCCCTCCTCCATCCTCCATGCGCAACAGTAAATCCATCCCAGTGCAAGCCTTTGAGGTATTCAATTCACTCACACTGAACAAAACACAGGTTTTTCTCACCAAAAACCAGAAGTCGCCTCTTCCTTACACACTGAGCGACCCGGGCTGGTGGGTTTAAACGACTCGCCTTTCAACTTGTCTTTTTGCCGAGGCATCGCAAGTGGAATCACTACAGCCAATTATAGCTGTAATTTAGACGCAATTAACCAGACTGTTTTATTCACAGAAGGACACACAGCGTAGCAAGTAAGGGCACACAAGAGTTAAGCATCAAAGTTGAGGCTTTTGCACACGCTACTCTTTCTTTCATAAAAATGTCCTTATAAAAAATATGTTTGAAATCCGTTTATACAGCTCCATGTGGATAATCTTGCCGTAGTTCATCCTAATGCGAATCCCTGGGTTCCTAGGTGCTCTGCGCTTTGACTTTAGAAGACTGCTTTGTGAAAGTCGGAATTTTGTTATGATATGTTCCCGTCTTTCTCATAGTGAATATCCAATGCAGGTTCAAACAACTCGCCTCAGTTTCCCACTGTTGTCCCGGGTTGACAGGCCATTTCTACCCGGGTCAAAAACACTGGTCTGCAGTCTGTAAAATCCTTAGACATGCGATTGCTCATCTGCATTTTTCAGATGTGTTTGCTTTTGTGGCCTTCATTTAGTCATTGACATTGACACATGGAAGATATTCTTTCCTGTTATAGATAAACGGGTACATATTTTCAAGTTGTTAATCTATGCTCACGATATGTACATCTGTACTATCATTATGTAAATTTTGCCTTTCTGTATTCATGTTCATTTGTTTGTTGTTTTTTTTTTTAGCTTTGGTAGTTTGTTGATAGTTTAATTAACTTATGTCCTCTTTAAAATCCCAACAGATTATGTAGCAGTGGAAGTCAAAAATGCTGACACATTGTTTTCATTTTTCTCCAGAGCTATTTGAGGTTATTGCGATTAGAGGATTATTAATGAGACAAGCCTTTGCTAAAAAGATTTGATTTGCATGTAAAGATTTCACTCATATCTGTGCACCATTTTGTATATATGACCTTGCATACAGGTGAAGCTGGATGTCTACCTGGCTGAGCTGACAAAGATCGGTAAGAGTCAGAAGTACACTTTGTCTGTGGATGTGGAGGGAGGAAGACTTGTGGTGATGAAGAAGGTGAAAGACAGCCAAGAGGACTGGAGCACATTCACACACGATAAAAGTGAGTGTCATTATTAGCAGACTACGAGTTCCCTTTGAGCTCAACAAGGTTTCTTCTTGTTTTTATTTCCAGTCCGTCAGCTCATCAAGTCGCAGAGAGTTCAGAATAAGCTGGGTATCGTCTTTGAAAAGGAGAAGGACAAGAGCCAAAGGAAAGACTTCATCTTTGCAAGTGCGAAGGTTAGAAAATAGTGGATGTTCCTCACTCTCGCGCTGATATTCAAGTTTTTGTCCAGGTTTATTCATTTTCATAGCCGTACTCATACATTTCTGCAGTATTTATTTCTTTTTTGTGTGTCTTTTGTTATTGCAAAGTGGGGTGTTTGGTTGCATACTGCCATCTAGTGGTTTACTTTGGCCTTGTGCATTTTGTAGAAACGAGAGGCTTTCTGTCAACTTCTGCAGCTCATGAAGAACAAACATTCCAACCAAGACGAACCTGACATGATTTCCATATTTATCGGCTCCTGGAACATGGGTGAATGATTTTTGTGGATTTATATACATTTGGCTCGCTCCACACTAAACTGTACCATTGCTCGATCTAACTTCAAGCGACAATAAAATAAATGTATGAACTAAAAATGTTTGTACCTAAAAAAAAAAATTGTGAATGTAAGAATGAACAGAACAGAGAAGACTATTTAATGGTTAATGGTTGGGGATATAACTATAATCAATATGTAATTATAGATTTGACATGCAAAAAAAATATTATTCAATAACTGCGGACAAACTAGGCGTTTTTGACGTAACAATCGTGTCCACTTTTGTTACGTCCAAAACGACGCTGTTAATAATATGGGCGTGAACAAATCTGTGTTAAAGTAGTGCCCCCTTCACTGGACAAACAAGCTGGGGACAAAACAAGAGTCGGTCTCTGAACATTCAGCAGTAACGGCCGCGGACATTTCGGGACTTTTTTGTGTCATTGACCAATTTGTAACACCTTGATACAGTTTAGTGTGACGTGAGCCATTTATAAACGACATCCCAAAGAAAAAGTAAAGTAGATATGTTTGTCTTAGTTTACTTTAATATATTTAACATGTTTTTTTAGGTTCTGTCCCTGGCCCCAAGTCTATTGCATCATGGGTGTCGTGTCGTGGCCTTGGGAAAACTCTCGATGAGATGACGGTCACCATCCCTCATGATTTGTACGTTTTTGGAAGCCAAGAAAACTCTGTCTGTGATCGAGAGTGGATCGAGTCACTCCGGAGCTTACTAAAAGAACAAACTGAACTAGATTACAAAGTGGTAACTACGTGTTTTGATCGCAGTATGACTTTGAACGTTCCTTTCACTAACAATTTTTTTACTATTTATTGAAGATTGCAATTCAGACTTTGTGGAATATAAAGCTGGCGGTGCTGGTGAAGCCTGAGCACGAGAATCGTATCAGCCACGTGGGAATGTCCAGTGTAAAAACAGGAATTGCCAACACTTTGGGTAAACATTCAACTTTTTGGTCCTTCATAAAAATCTAATTTGTTTTTTGAATGTATGGTATAAATGTTTTCCCTTTGTGTTTGTAGGTAACAAAGGAGCAGTGGGTGTGTCTTTTATGTTTAATGGTACCTCTTTTGGATTTGTTAACTGTCACTTGACATCGGGGAATGAAAAAATTGCCAGGTACCACTCTGATCATAGATATCTTGTTTTTATTGTACTCATTTATTCATATTCATAATTTATATTGCACGTGGAGACATCTCATTACAAATGAACTGATGAATTTGTCCTGCTGTAGGAGGAACCAGAATTACTTGGATATACTTCGACTGCTGTCTCTAGGAGATAAACAGCTGAGCTCCTTTGACATTTCATTGCGTTTCACACATCTCTTTTGGCTGGGAGACCTCAATTACAGACTGGATATGGACATACAAGTAAACACACGCTTATCTACGCTCTTCCAATCAACGGCTGTACTCAACTGCTTATTGTATGTGTGCAGGAGATTTTAAACTATATTAATCGGAAAGAGTTTGAGCCCCTACTTAAGGTGGACCAACTTAATTTGGAGAGGGAAAAGAACAAGGTTTTCCTGCGTTTTGGTTCGTAGAATCTGTTATAACCTCTTGAAAGTGTATTGTTTATTACAAAATTGCCTTGTTATTGCAGCGGAAGAGGAGATCTCATTCCCGCCGACCTATCGTTACGAGCGTGGCTCTAGAGACACGTATGTTTGGCAGAAGCAGAAAGCCACAGGGGTATGTGCTGTAAGTGACGCTCTCGAGTTCTACTGCTGTGGTTAATGGATGTTTTCATGTTTATTTTAGATGAGAACAAACGTCCCCTCTTGGTGTGACAGAATCCTGTGGAAATCCTATCCGGAAACGCACATAGTTTGCAATTCGTATGGTAAATGAAATATATTAAAGCTTTTAGCCCTATTCACTTTGTATTAAACGTATGAAGACACGTGTTTGTTTCTCAGGTTGTACAGATGACGTTGTGACCAGTGATCATTCCCCTGTGTTTGCGACCTATGAAGTTGGTGTAACTTCCCAGTTTGTTTCTAAAAAAGGTACAATTCATGTCAAATAAAAGGCAAACATTATTAAATAAATATGATCTAAACTATAAATACAATAATCATTGTTTTGAATAAGGTTTGCCCAAATCCACGGAGCAGGCCTACATCGAGTTTGAGAGTATAGAAGCTATTGTGAAAACTGCAAGTAGAACCAAGTTCTTCATTGAGTTCTATTCAACTTGTTTGGAAGGTACGCAAATGTCTATAATCATATGTTCTCACGTAGTTTAATGTTGTACTAATGTTCTGACTAATTTGAATATTATTTGTGCTGCAACAACAATTGTAAAACACTAAAGTGACATAATGGAAGCTCTTTTTCTCTTTGTGTTTCCTAACCCCTCCCCGCTGTGTCAGGCAGTTAGTATTGTGTATCTGTTTTGGACCTGGCTGAATGTTCCTTCCTTGACCGTCCATGGCATAATTCTTTTTAATTGCATCAAAACATACCCCTCTCTTTGTTCCCACTTACCCCACTCCCTCTGCCATAATTGTTCTCCCTGCTCCTCAATCTCCCTTTCTCTTCTGTAGAGTTTAAGAAGAGCTACGAGAACGACAGCCAGAGCAGCGACAACGTAAACTTTCTGCGTGTCGGCTGGTCCAACAAGCAGCTCACCACGCTCAAACCGCTGCTCTCAGACGTGGAGTACCTTCAGGACCAACATCTGCTGCTGACCGTCAAGTCTCTGGATGGATACGAGTCCTATGGTACGTGCACATTCGATACACCCCAAAACTAAGCCTCTATGTGATCTCTGATGTTGTATTTGCATTCACCAGGCGAGTGTGTGCTGGCTCTGAAGTCCATGATTGGCAGCACACCACAGCAGTTCCACACCTACTTGTCCCATCGCGGAGAAGAGACGGGGAATATCCGGGGTTTAATGAGGGTCCGAGTTCCCTCTGAACGAATGGGAACCAGGGAGAGACTCTATGGTAAGGTCATCAGCGCCGTCTCCTCTGGGATTTGTGAAAGACTTTGTCAGATGTGTCATAAATGTATTACAGAGTGGATAAGCGTGGACAAAGATGAAACGGGAGGACCTAAAGGAAAAGGCACCATCCATCCAAGGACGGGACATGAATATGTTAAGTCAGTACATTTTTAGTAATAGATATATAAATATATTCAGGGGTGTTTCTAGTTTAGATCACTCACAAAATCTGATTGGACATAAATTATAGTTTTAATGTATATTTTCATATAAAACTTTATTTTAAAACGACAATGATGCTTTTCCCTACTTTATAGTGTATTTTTAGTTGGAATAATGTTAACGTTTGGATAAAAGTCTGAACACACCCCTGAAAAATCCTTAATTTGCGGCTATTTTAATTGGATAAGTATGCATTAATTATTCCTTTATATTCCTCAGGCCTTCTGTAGTGCGCAAACAATTTGGAGAACTGGGTAAGGTCAGCGAAGAGGGAGAACGGAATAGCAAAGAGGAGGCTTCAGCCAGGTAACTCTTGTAACACAGAACTAACAGAAAATGTATTTTCTTTATCTGCAGGGGTTTTTGTGCTTTTTAATTATTCCTTGAAAGTGCTTTTGAGTGTCATGAAAGGCACTGACAAATTAAATGTATTCTTATTATTATTAATGACTAAACATGTTTGATTTTTTTATTACCCTATGTAGGCCAAAACAGGATTCTTCAGATGCAGAGTCGACCGTCAACAACAGCTACAACAATCCGGCTTATTACATCCTGGAAGGTGTCCCCAACCAGTCTGCTGCGGCCGTCTCCCCTGAGCTTCTCGCCTCTCCTACCTCTCCCGGTGCCCCAGCATCGAAAGCCCCTTCCCCTTCTTCTGGAGCTCGTGCCAAACCCCCCTGCGGCGGCCCAGGACCCTCTCATTCCAGAGTACTTTTAACAGGACATTCAGTCCGGACCATCAGCGAGGAAGGCCCGTCTGAGGATGAGACCTGTGTCGCTGCACTGCCTCGCGTTGGAGCAACAGGAAGCTCTCTCAACCGTCCCCCGCCAGACTTCCCCCCTCCCCCTCTGCCCAAGGGAGCTCTGGAGATGGTCACCGAAGTGCCTTTCCCTAAACCTAGAGCCACTTACCCGGATACGGTGGAGGTCCGGATCCCCGCAGCCGTTCCAGCCGCGCCCCCCGGACTTGGAGAGGGCTTCAGGCGAGGAGGGGGGGCGGCCGCAGTTGCAGCCAGTCTAATGGATGACCAGTCGTGTTCCGTTCTGCAGATGGCAAAGACACTGAGTGAGACGGAGTTCACAGGACCACCCCCACGGGCCCCCTCTGCACCACCTCCACTCAGGGGACAAGCGATGGCCTTTGGACTGGATCCCTGTCGCACATTCCCACCTAGACATCCAATCCCAGAGAGCATAGCGGAAGACATGCCTGAAGAGGTATGCGTTACAAATCTACACTGATTTTTGAATTTACAAACAATTAATTAAACTATGTCTGTTTAATCCCTGAAACTGGAGTATTACATTATGGGGTGCATCGTATTTTTGTTTAATAATAATACATTGTGTTTGTCGCAACAATTCAATTCAATTTATTCTTGTATAGCCCTTAAACACAACAATACTTATCTCTGAGGACTTTGCAAAACCGTTTAATTCACCAACACGGATCAAAGAATCAAACAGTTCAAACACAATAAATGCAATGATAGAAAACACATTGGTATTGTTCCAGAAGGGGCAGATGTCCATAAATGTTGATAAATGTCCACGTTGTTGAATGTTGAGTGTCCTGGATCACCACTGTCCTTATGTTAGACCCTCCTGCATCAGCAAGGAAAAACTCAACAGCAGGAAATGTAGGGCTGCACGATATTGGAAAATAGTGCGATATTCGATATGAGTGTTTAGTATTTCAATAACGATATTATTGCGATATTTTTGTCTTTCACCTAAAATTGTAATCTGCTTTGAAACGAAAAAGACCAATAACAAAATATAAGCACAACATTTATGACCTTCAAATGCATATATTTATATACTTGTTTGTTTGTTGTACTTGTTGAGTGTTGATGTGTCTGTCTGTTTTGTTGTCTTTGATAAAGGAAAAAAAAATCTATCGCATGCACCAATATCGCGATAACAATCATTTTTTTATAAGTCGTGCAGCCCTAGCAGGAATCTTATATGATTTAAAATGTTGTGAACTAAATAGACAACAACATGGTCGTATAAATGTATAGAAATGTTATATTTTTCATAGGGCAATCTGAAAATAGGGCAAAGTTTATTACTTTTGGTGGATTGAAAGTAAGCCTTAACACCAATACTCATCTTGCATTATTGAGTTTTCTGAAAAGCTGTGCATGAATTCTTCTAGGTTTATTATCTCGTTTGACCACTCTCACTTTACTGTACTTTCATGTTTGCGTGTGTACAGGCGCTATGGGGCAGCAGTAGCTCGTCACTGTCTGTGGGTGAATCTTCGGTGGGCGAGTGGCTGCAGCGTCTGGGGCTGGAGCAGTACGAGCAGGGCCTTTTACACAACGGCTGGGATGACCTGGAGTTTCTGAGGTACACTCATTTACGACACACAAACTGAAGGCAAGAACGATTGAAACACTGAGTCCAAGCTGTTGACTGTGCGTTTGTGGTCGGCAGTGACATCACAGAAGAGGACTTGGAGGAGGCCGGAGTGCTGGACCCTTCGCACAAAAGGATTTTGTTGGAAAACCTCAGACAGTAACGGCAGAAATGAACTGTGAGTGGTCCAAACCTTTTCCCAAGTGGACTTACAAAATACATAGTGTAAATATGTCCTGTAATGTTAATGTGTCACTGTTATAGATGTGGCCTTATTTAATGTAATCATTTCAATCCTTTATGTTTCTCAAAATATAGCCATCTGCCTTAACAACATGTAGCTAAGTTAATTTATATGTATATTTTTGACTGGGAGAAAGTGAATTCCTTAGACAAGAATAATGCAAAAAATAAGTTCATTTTTAAGAACTGAAACCTATTGTTAGAGCACTGCTTGTCTCAGGTTTTGTCTTGGTCTCATTTCATACACATCGGAGCTGCTAAATTGGAGCCAAGGAGGGAAATGGAGTAATCCATTAGAAGTGGTTTGTGAAGAGCGCAATATGAATATAGGCTAATTATTATTTAGGCAATAAAGGGAATTTAAATAGACTTCTGAGGAATCATTGGCAGCGGTGTTAGTTGAACAAACAATGATAACAATGTAAAAGATGTCAGATTAAAGTCAGATGCTAGGCGTAGGTCACAATCTACATGGTGACTTGAGCAGTGTTAACTTTGACTAAACTATTCTTGTATTTACAGTCATTGACCTATTATCAAACAAAATGAATGTGATTGTGATAACTAAAACTGACCAAAATTATCTGTTTTATTTCAAATGAAGGAGCAGATATTTTTGTCAAATATTAAAAACTATATATAAACGCATAGAAGGAACAAATGGTCTGGTTTAAACTCTTAGCCCCAAACCAGACCATAAACAAACTCTATATTATGTCCAAGAGCTGCACAGGTCCCATGAAGCAATCCCTAAAACTGTTATTCCCTCACCAACTCCTATCACTTTAATATAGTTTGTATTATATGTTCTTGAACATGCAACAAAACCGTAACATTTCATGTTTAAAAAGTGGCAAGAGTCTGATACTGTTCAAATCAATGGCTCTGTTTCACCAGTAGATGGCGCTGCTACTTCAGCCAACGCTGAATGAGAGGCTGATCACTTTGGTCCGTTGTGTTTCCATTATGTTCAGATTTCACCCAGAGACATTAGTTTCTGTCCGTTTTACCCTTGACGACATCATCCAAGATCATAACCCAAATGTGCCTTATCTTGTTGCCGTTATGGTCAATGCAATATTGTGCTGTTGTTTTTGAAAATATATATATTTGTAAGCCTTTTGGAACATCAGTGTTCTCGTGTATGAGTGTATGTAAAGTTATTGCCTCGTGCCATTGTCTGTTATTGAGTTTTCAATTGTTAAATGTGTTTAACTTAATCTAAGACTGTCTTTTTATTAAAAACGTAAACATTCTATGACCAATAACGCTGCATCTGCTTCTTGACAGTGAGAACGCGGTGAAAGGGTGTGGAAAAGACGGAAAACGACATTAGTGCGTCCATAATGTAGATTTATTTATTAATATTCAGAGTAGTGCTATAACTTCTCATTCACTAGAGTTTCTGTCCATTCATAGTTTCATAGCCGTGTTGGTCCTTTTGAAGACAGAATCTTGGCACCAAAAGAAATCCGCAAAAGCAACAAATAAAAAAGAAAAAAAAAGAAATGCTACCTAACATTTTATATTACTAGTTACAGAGTTCACAGTCACACCTTTTTATATAACAGTCCAAAAGTGTGGCTTACTCAAATAATTAAAATATAATAATAAATACATTTGTTTTTCCTTCTCCTGGGTTGTCTTCCCATGATGGGCGTGAGCAGACAGAGCAACAATAAGAGCAGAAAGACAAATTCTTTCAATGTCCGTGTCCACATCGTTGAATCCTTATGCACGTAAAGAATTCTTAGTTTTACCGTGGCCCCATATATCATCAATTTAGCTTGAGGAGAAACTTGTAGAACACCAAATTTCAATGTGATGAGATTCGGGACGAGGAGGAAGCCGGGGAGGGTCTCATCACAGCTAATTGGATTGCAGGGTGAAGATTTGTATAGTTGTTTTTGTCCTCTGCTTTTGTCTACGAGTCAGGGGCTTAAATGAAGTTGTGCTTGCTGGCAAGTTTGTTTTGTGTCCTCGGCAAAGATCGGGATTCGTTTTTTACAATTTACACCCGGACTTGACTTCCATACTGAAGAGGAGGATCATTGAGGCAGTAGAGAAAGAGCGAGAGAGGGAGAAAAAAAGCTGGATAATTTTTAAATGAACAAAAACATTGAACTATAACATCGAGGGTAATACAAAATCTGATCTGTACATGTAGTGATTCAAATCGGTTTGGAAATTTGATTTGAGATAAAGGCATCGGTGTAAGCGACATTTAGCATGTTTTGATAGAAGAATTTAAAGGTTTCATTCTTTTCAGGTGTAACGGTTTGTGAACAATTTTTTTTTTTTCAACATACCAAGATATTTATTCATCTCTTCAATTGTTCTGGACAAAAGCCTGGTGTCAAAGCAGGATTGGAGTACAGCTGTTTGCACCAGTATAGTGTTCATAGTCTGTCATCAGCCTGCGCGCCTTGTCCCTGCTCCCTCTCCACTCTGTGCTTCAGAATAGGTTCGTCTTGATGCCCGCTGGATTGGGTTTTCTGTGGAAAGAGGACAGCACTCCAGCGAAGGGCCCGGTCATACTGTCCGGCTGCCAGGCTTTGAGGATCTCTTGCGTTTGGGTAGCAGGCTGAGCTACAGCTGGGTTTGCGGGCCCCAGGTTTGACCAGCTTGGTGCCTTGAGCCCTTGGAGCACAGGGGAGCTGGAGGTGTTGTAGATTGTCCCTGTCGGTGCGGGGCTGGGGCTGAGGCTGGCCGGGCTGCCCATGTTCCCGTTGCCAGATCCAGGCAGGGAGGCAGTGCTGTCGGGGGTGGGGCTGCAGGTGGACTCTTTGGACTCATCATCGTCAGAGGAAGATCTGGGCTCTCCGTTCTTCTTGCCCGCAGAGCTGCTGCCGGTGCTGCCCGGGGTTCCTCCGTTGCTGTTGGCCTTGGCGTTGGCTGCCCGCTCCTGCTTACGGAACTTTGCACGTCTGTTCTGGAACCAAACCTGTTTCATATTGAAATAAAGAAATGTATTTTTGAATTAATACTATAGTAATCTTTATAATAATAAACACTACATATGCTTTCCTAGTGTGAACTAGAATCTAGACTTGCTTTAAATGATTATATGAAACTTCAAAAGGCAATCATTCTTGGTGTTGTAGAATATTAATGCCCAAATTGTCTAAATATGTTTATTATTATGTTATTTTTGTGTGGTTCATAATCAATAAAAGCTATATGTAGGTGAGAGAAAATCCTTGGAACGACATGTATAATTTGCCTCAGCAGAAACGCAGAACATGATTCTTGTTATGCTGATTGTTATTTTAAAATCATGTTCTGCCTGATCAGGAGGATAAAAGAAAATATAAATGTCAGGTAAAATACTTTTCCGAATGATATAGCAACAAATGTAAATGTTCTGTGTGAATAAGAGGCCTCCATGATGCATGATGCAGAGGTGATAGTGACCTGCACGCGCGCCTCGGTCAGGTCTATCTTCAGCGCCAGCTCCTCGCGCGTGTAGATGTCCGGATAGTGCGTCTCCGCGAACACGCGCTCCAGCTCTTTGAGCTGCGAGCTGGTGAACGTGGTCCGGATCCGCCGCTGCTTCCTCTTTTCATTCAGGCCTGATGGGTCCGAGAAGAACTTGTACGGCACTGCAAAAGACACACACGTTTAGAATAAGTACATGAGGAAGTCTACATTGATGCTGATCGAAAATAGGATGACAGGCCAACAACAAATACATAATGTTTACATTAGGATTAGGGTTTTTTATTTCAATATGGGCTGATTAGTTTTTGTTCCTATTTAGTCAGCCAATTATCTTACTGCTTTAACAGATGCACTTCAGCATCTGTTATTAGAACATATTCTTTTTTGAATAAACAGGATTTAGAACTACATGCGCAGAATTTTGACCGTTTAAATATGTTTCAATAAATAATGAACCAGATGTAATTATAATCATGCATATCCTTTTTATCAAATCCAGGGTTTTGTTCTGGGTGCTTTGTAGCTGTCCACACAACAGTGGGACCTACCTGAGGAGTAGGGGGTCGGCTGGTGCTCCCGCAGTGCTCCCAGGGTGCAGCTGGCCGTGCTGAGGGGAGTGCAGCCCGGGTTTGAGAAGGGCCCGCTCCTTATCGGGTTGTACTGGAACGAACTGGCCTGGCTGCAAGAGCTGAAGTCCGCGTAGGCAGAGGCTTCCATGGCTGCCATGCAGGAGTCATAGGAGTTCAGATATGAGTAATCCATTTTATACATGGATGTGGACCGGCTGAATGACCGGTGCGTGCGTGGACAAGTGGGCAAAAGTACCAGTGACTCTCAGAGCCGCGAGAATCGAGAGCAGTACCAGGTTCAAAGTGGAAACAAGAAATCAAAAGGGTGTGCAGTTCTCTGTGGCTCTTGAGAAATCCAAATCCCCTTCACTATCTCAAGAGGAGAAGCTGTGAACTATGGAATAATCCAGTTTCAGTGGCACAGTTGACCTCAGTGCGTCCACTTACTTCAGCGTGTGCGCTCTGCTCCGTTTGACAGTCCGCAGCAGCTCGTGCATGGTTTATAATAAAGTTGGTTGCGCGCGAAGACAATAGCAAGGCGGTGGTCTAGTTTCCATGACAATAGCCTCCTCCTGCAAACAGCCAATGGCAGAGCCCTGAACACAGATGGTCACGCCCACAGGCCACGCACCACCCTCACGCACCTCTGGCGCACTCAGACCAGTGCAGGTGCCTGCTCCAGTCTGCAAGCGCACAGTGCGCGCACAAATCCGAAATATAGTTAGACATGAGCATATTCTTTCTGACAAGAACCACATGGGCAAGGCACTTAAATACACGATCATAGATAGAAACTTTACCTAGAAAGTTGATATTTTTCCCAAAAGACCACTGAAATCCAGTGGTCATTATTTAACTGAGAATTTTCAGGGATTTTAGAATTAGCCAATGGTACGTCAAATTAATGTATAACCTGTGGCTACAACAATGTCAGTTTAGCCTGACACTCATTTTGATAAGCTTTTTCCACCCGTGGACTTTTCTTCCTATATAGTCGAGTATATTAGGATAAGGAAAAAAGACATTCAATAGGACTTTTCTGTAAGTGATCATTTTTAAAGAGAATGGGGCAAAGAGCTCCAGAGAGCCCTGGTCTGAAGCCCAGACATTGTACAGCATTCATTTCAAAAAGGACAACTCCTTCCCGGGTCCCTTTATCCATCTGTGTGACAGCATGAGAACAGTGTATCTGCTGGAGCTATACGTCTTTACGCCTTTTACAAAATGTCCAGATGTGACGTTGATTGGAGAGATTAAAAGCCTTGATTTGATTCCGATCACTTCTAGGGAGATGCCACTGTGCGCCACGCGTCATTTTGATATATAGAAGTGAAGAGGAGAGAAAAGCAACCGCAGCAGGCTAACCATAAACCCATCGACGCGTTAGAAATTGGTTTAAGTTTATTGTTTGGTGTCATACAATGTGATAAGTCATATCCCACACGGCCCCAGTATACGCACGGAGCAGAGAGGCGCACTCCCCACTCCCAGTCAGAGGCCATTTAAGGCACCACGCGGGTGTGTGGAATTAACAGGCTTTTTATTAGAGGATATAGGCCAACAAATATGATCCACAAACCAAGAGGAGGTTACAAGCGCGTGTGACTAAAATAATTAACTTGATTCCAGCGTGTGCGCGGACAAAGTGCACTCTTATCTCAGTGTCCGGAGGCGCATATGATCCTTAATGCCATTAACTCACCGCGTATCACAGGAACATGAGAAGCATTGTCTCTGAAGAAGTTTGTCGCAACCCAAGCTTGTTGGGGCTGGTGCCACCATGCACAGCACTTTTGTTTCTATAGTTTCTTTTTAAAAAGTATATGAGCTTTGCCAGTGTTACCCAACCTTTTGCATTGAAAACATGGCACACCACCAGCTGGAACTGACCCTGACACAAACATGAAACTGCCTTTACAAACTAAAGTAGTCATCCTTATCAAGAAAATCAAACAAGCGCAAGTAAAGTCTTCATCTTCTCTTATTTTTGCTTTCACGTTATTTTGACCTGACAGGTGTTATTGGATAATTTCTCAAAGGTAAACCAAACACCACCTCAAGGCACACAAACGTGCCACGGTACACTGGTTGAAAAACAGTGAGCAACGCCATATCCTCTCTGCCTTCTTGGGTCAATGTGTTAAATGAAAAATATTGATAATAAATGTGTTGTAAAGAAGTCTATTGATAAAAACAGTTAAATTCATCCCTGTCTCTGCGCCCAAAAGAGCAACAGACCTGATCTCCTCCTAAAACATTTGCGTCCTAATCCCTACAAAGACGGAGCGGTCTCTTGCAGCCTGCTAATCCGTCCATAGTGCTCTGGCACAGGGGGGGGACCTTTCCTCTGCGCGGCCTTTAACTTTGGACTTTTACATTCATGGGGCCATTTGACGGAAACAGTAACGGGAGGCTTTGGCATTCATGACGTCTGAGTCAACAGAGGGACGCACAATGGTCCTGCAGGAGCTTCAGAGGGACCCTAGATGCTTTAGGCCTCCACTACCTCCACTTCAATAACAGGCCCGCTCAGTTAGAATAAGACAGGACTGAACTATTCCAAAGCCGATACAAGCTACTTTTAAAGTATACAGCTCTATCTAATACGGCTATGTCCGGCCTCATTTATGTTTTATTTATTTATATGGATTTTTTGTGTGCGTAATATAGTCGTGTTTTTCTGTTGACGTGCTGAATAATTCTGCGGTGTTATCAATATTAATTTGAGAGCGCCTGTATGTTCTATAGGGTGCAGAGCCCATACACCTATTTTCCCAATTAGCTCCAAAAAGCACATTCTGTAAAAATCATAATTGAATTGCTCAGGTTCGCCTGGCTGCTGTCTCTGGAGGTCCCGCTCCGCTGCGGGGATGGGGAGCTCAGGCTGCACTTCTCTGATGGATGGAGCCATGGAGGGATGGATTTGATGGAGAGATGGAGAAGTGTATGGATCTAGACAGGACATAAGGAATGAGTAAAAGATGACCCAGCAGACTCACTGAAAGAACAGCCTCGCGGGAGGCCCAGGCCGAATGAGGCTGTGAAACACGCGGTGGTGGTCTGACCAAGTGAAGCTGTCAGTCAGAGCGCGCGTCTGCACCATCCATCACGTTGCGCACAAATCTTGTCCTGTTTCCATGTGTCGCAGGCGAAACAGCATGCTGCTATTGATCTGAACTCTGAAGGACCAATTCGCAGAGTGTGGCATGTGAAAAATAAATCAAAGTTTAGACCAAAGTTGTGTTTCACAGATACTGTGACATTATAAAGTCAACATTCTGGTCCAACGAGTCAAAGCCATCAACGATGATCCTTTATTTTAGACATACACATATTGGGATGATGCTGATCTTCGGCTGTGGCTGTTTGGTATGGGACATATAACTGTTTTGGCTCTAGAACAAGCCGACAGCAGCTCTTCAGTCTGTGGGGTTTGTTTGGTTGAGTGCATGGTGCAATGGTGGTGAGACTCATGGTGCAGTGTGGCCCCTGTACGTGTTGCGTCACCGTGCACGGAGCGTGTGAGCCCGAAGTCCAGTAATTGGAGAAAAAAAGCAGGTCTCGTGATTGAAATAAGGTTGACGCCACCGTAAAGCACAGCGCCGGTTTGAGCCAGAGCCGCAGCGCATTTGATTTTGCTGATGATGGATGAGAGATCAGCCAGTGGGGGTGGGCCCCGGGCCTGCTCCTCCGGCGTGCGCCTGTCCCAACATTTCACTCTCCAATTACTGAAATACACTCTGACGCTGCACCTCCGCCTATGAGAGTACACACAAGTGTAGAGGGTGATGAAACACGAGTAAGAATTTAAACAATTGGTCTGAGGTGCTATTGGTCGAGCTTTTGATAATGCATGATAACCATTTGATTAAAAAAAAAAAATCAGGCCTGCGCAGGGTTAAGAAGAGAGTTGGCTCATTCCTACAGGCTTCAAGTAATATTGAAAATAAAAGAATATTATTTTGAGACCGATCAATTACTTTTTACGCTTTCGTTGGTAGACTGGTTATATTGTATTGTTAAAGTATGTCATGTGCAGTATTTCAAATAAATGTCTTATATATAAGACATATATATATATATATATATATATATATATATAATTATTATATTATATATATATATATATATATAACGTATATATATATATACGTTATATATTATAATATATATAATATAATAATTATATATATATATATATATATATATATATTATATATTTATATATAAATAAATATGTGGTGGTGCACACGGTTAGAGCACAGCACAGCTGGAGCGCTATGGCCGTGCGTACGGGAGCTTCTCCAAACATGGATAATTAGATCTGCAGCTCTGGCCCCGCGCTCTGAAAGCAGCCCAGCGGCGGGGCGCGCGGAGCTGTGGAAACTTAATTCAATTAAATTTCCTCTAAACTAATTAGGCTGCAATCTGCCACGCGAGCTGTCCCTGAGCAAGGTTCGAATTAGGCGAAATGGATTTGTTCCCTTAAAGAATGGCGGACAGACTGTGTGTTTTTGGAGGCTCCTTTATTCGTCTTTTATGCTAATTATCTGAGTGAAGGCCTGCCACGAGGGGCACGTCATGCGTGCGTAATGCACGCACCTGCGTATCCCCATCCACGGGTAAACCAAACTAACCAGAGGTCCCTTTTGAAAGTGCGCCACCAGTGAGTGTTGTACGTGTGAAGCAGAGTCCGGCTCTGTCTCCTGCGGAGCAGAGCGGGAGACCTCGGTAATGGAGGTGCATCGATTGTTGATCCAGAGGGAGCGCCACAGGCAGCGAGAGATGAGAGCGGTGTGGAGGGACACGGATGAAAATGCCCCGTTAAGAGCAGGACAGATATGATAATGGGGGAGACTGGGTAGTCGTTCATCATTCACCACCTCCACCTGCACTGCACTGGCTGCACGCACTAAGATCCACCGAGGAGAGAGCAGCCATCCAAAGACACAGGGATCATGACCGTACGGAATACACGAATCTTCTGGAGACAAATGGGGCAAAGTTACGAGCTGCAGTGTAGAGGGGAAAGTGAGAGAGTGTAGTTGAAAACGAAAGAGTAGATGCAGGCTAGGGCGATGCGATGGTGGGCCAGGTTCTGTTTCTCTATAATCTAATCAGAGAAATGGCTGCAGTCAGAAATAGCCTGACGGACAGACTAAGAGCCTCTTCGCTTTCTACTCCTCCTTCTTATTCTAGTCTTCCTCCTCTGGGAGGGTAAATGGATCTACACACAAACACATGCATGCCAACTTGGCTTCCTAAAACCATAAAGTGTAGAAGTGATAGGGATAGGAGAGATGGGAACAGCCTCAAGGTATAAGAGCTTAAACTTGATCTACTGTCCAGATGCAGGCACTGGGAGAGGTTTGGTCAACGATGCACCAAGTCAAAAGGCACAGGCATCCAGATGGTGTTTATGATGTGACCAATAACAATAGGTCATTTGCAATGGAGTGCTCAGTATATCAAATAATGATTAAATGTTAAGATAACAGTTCTAAATATTGTATATTTAACACCATGCAAAGGGAAAACCCTTATTGATTACCATTATTAAAGCCACAAATTCTCTGTCAGTTTTGTGGCATGTGTGAATATGACTAG